CTGCCAAATTATCATTTCTTTCTTCCAAAGACGTGCCTTTCTTTTTCATAATACGACATATGAAAGAACTTGAAAAAATCTTAGATTAATCTTTTGGGGATATACTTAATATTCATAGATATTTTGTTTTGTCTACCTGCTGGTTCCTAGATATGATCTCCATGTTTCATCTCAAAGAGACACAACTTGGGAATTTTACCAGTATAAAGACAGTTGGATAGCGGTCAAATTGAATTCTAAGGAAGACTCAAAGTAAAATAGGGGTAGTACAGATTTTTAGCATAAGTTTAATCTCTTAGAAGTTTGAGGCATATAAATTTTTGACCTTTGCAAAAAATAGAAGTGCATGTGAACTTTCCATTCTAAGATATATTTTTTTTTTATAAAACTTCATATTAAAAGTAGCACAGTTTTAGCCATGAATGAAAGGAGTTCTTAAATTGCATTGTTTATATTTACAGAAGTGCAACCTAGAGCATTTAACGATGTGAAACATAACTTATATAGGTCTCCCCCATAGGTTATGTAATACCTTTTAAAGGAGAACAACTGATGTTGATGATAAATGAAGGATGCTCAGATTCAAAACATTGTATACACCAAACCAGGTACTTCATATCTGAGAAACAGGCAATACATGCCCTCAATTTTATAATTCATTCATAAATTTTTGTATTATTCAAAATAATCAGTCAATTTGTGTTCTACAAGGAACACCAGTCCTCACCTTTCATTTGATGCCTTAATAACTAAAATATATTCTACATAGTTTTATATTTACACCTATGCCTAGGTACTATTTTGTTTTAAATATGTACTACTTTCCAGTATGTTCTTTTTTGACCGGGACCGATTTGGTGGTGATACATCTTACGTTAAAGTCTATCCGAATTATTTTGCAAAGAATTCCTCTCAAACGGTTGCTAGGGGCCGTCTTAAACTAATGCAGTGAGGTGAGAGTTTTTTTTGCTCTGTGTTGAAGGCCTCACTGTGACTGAGATGAAGAACTGCAATAAAAGCGCTGTTCCTTTGCTCTTTGTGTGTTTTTTGTTGTGCATGTACTTATTTTGTGTCATGGATGGATACCCAATATCTTTTGTTTTTCTAGTAGATAATTAGTGTGATATAAAATGTTTTGAACGTGATTTAAAAAAAACAAAGAAATACCCTTAGCAGAATTAAATCAGTACATGTATCTTGATAAAGAACCTTGTCGCAAAATTGTTGCTTTTGAAGAACAAAAAATAACATTTACATATCGCTATGTAAAATTACCTTAAATTCTGGAATTTATTTTTTAAGCAGTTAAGCTGCCTTATCTTTCTATGTTGTGATGTTACACTATTGTTTCAGGTAGGGTGAAGGTTGGCGCCTATTAAAACGTTTAAACCCGCTGCATTTGTTTGCACCTGTCCTAAGTCAGGAACCTGATGTTCAATGGTTGTCGTTTGTGGTTCATAAGTTTTTCTTAGTTTCTCGTTTTTGTCTCGCCTTGTCGCCCCTTCAGTTATTGTCTATTGACTTTGAAACTTTGCTTAGTTTACATGTATTAGTTTGTGATTAGGTCAGTTTATGGGGAACCACTAGTTGTAAGTTAATGATATTTGTTATGCAGTTGTATAAGCATCGGCATATCTCATTTCCATGGAGATTATTTGGCCCCACCCCCTCAGTCATGGTCTATTGACTTTGAAACTTTTGCTTAGTTTTCATGTATTAGTTTGTGATTAGGTCAGTTTATGGGGAACTACTAGTGGTAGGACATTGATATTTGGTATGCAGTTGTATAAGCATTGGCATATATCATTTCCATGGAGATTATTTGGTTTGGTCCCCTCAGTCATGGTCTATTGACTTTGAAACTTTTGCTTAGTTTACATGTTTTAGTTTGTGATTAGGTCAGTTCAAGGGGAACCATTAGTGGTAGGCCAATGTTAGTTGGTATGCAGTTGTATAAACATTAGTTCATCTCATTTCAATGGAGAATATTTGGCCCAGCCCCCTCAGTAATGGTCTATTGACTTTGAAACTTTTGCTTAGTTTACATATATTAGTTTGTGATTAGATCAGTTTAAGATGAACTGCTAATGTTAAGTCAATGATATTTGGTATGCAAATTTATTGGCATTTGCAAGTCTCGTTTTTATTGAGATTATATAGCCCCACCCCCTCATCATGGTTCATTGACTTTGAAACTTTTTACATAGTTTACAAGTTAATGTTTATGGTTAGGTTTGTTTAAAGGGAGCGACTTATGATAAGTCAATGGTATTTGGTATACAGTTGTATTAGCATTGGCACATTTCATTTCCATGGAGATTGTTTAGCCATGTACCTTCAGTCATGGTTCATTGACTTTGAATATTTGCATAACTTACATGTTAAAGTATTGCTATTTTAATTTCAACATTTGCATTATCAAAAAGGCGAGACATATCTCTGTGATAACAGTTTATTGATATAGATTAGACCGTTGGTTGTCCTGTTTGAATGGTTTTACATTAGTCATTTTTGGGGCCCTTTATATCATTGCTGTTTGGTGTGAGCCAAGGCTCCATGTTGAAGGCCGTACTTTGACCTATAATGGTTTACTTTTACAAATTGTGACTTGGATGGAGAGTTGTCTGATTGGCACTCATACCACATCTTCTTATATCTATTTATGCTAGAACTCTAGATTTGCTTTTTTCCCAGGGAACTCTGAAATAGGTGCCATTGCCCTTATCTAGCAGGCTGGTAGGTTATGAATAACTAATTGGACACTTTTTTCATGCTTTTAGTTCTGAAACACAAAAAATATGTCCAGAATAACCTGAAATGATCGTCTAGCAACCCAAAATCAATGACGTTGCACATTGAAAATAGTGCTCAATGGAAAGCCTTACATTGTTTTTTATCTTCTGTGCATTTGATAACCATGTTAAAGAACAATTGTATGAAATATTTCATCGACGAAAGTTTCTATATACAAGTCGTTTACATTTGCTAAATGACAAAATGCGCATGAATATCGTTTGGCGGTAATTTTAAACTAGTAGACGAAAAGTATATTATTTATTACAAACGTTTAGCTGTGATACTATACATTTATTTCCCGTGCCGGAGGGAGATATGAAGATTTTGTTTACCCAAGAATATTCATATTTCACGAGGGCTCTGCCCGAGGGATATATGATTTTTCGAGGGTGAACAAATCTTCATATCTCCCGAGGCAAAGGGAAATGAATGTTTGATTCCACTGCCTATGCTTTGTTTACTATCAATACATTAAATATTATTTTGCATACATTTTTTTTCTTATCCGCTTGTTTTTGTAAGTCAAACTAAACACGACATACCCATTGATAAACAGTAAGGATCAAAATTTAATTATATTTTTTTTTGTTTTATCGTCTGAAATAAATTTGAAAATGTTAATGAGTTTTTAACCGCACGTAATGTCGCACGAAGTGATCCATTGAATAATTTCAGAGGAGAATAAGTGGTTGTTGTTGTTTGGTTTTTTTTTGCAGTTAACATTTAGATGCTGTCTGGTGTTAGTTTTTTTAGACATGATTAACTTTGTCAAAACTGCATAGAAGTTTGCCAGAAGCTTTTTAATCATCAATAAATGGCATCTGAAGAAAAAATCTATATTATTTTGATTGTGTATTTTACTGACTTAGTTTTTGGCAGTCAACATAACACTTTTACTCTGACAGGAGCAATAGCAGTCAAGACACAGGGTTTTACAGAACACTTTAAATACTGATTTTTAAGACAAGTATACAAAAATCAAAGGAAGGATTTCAAAAAGCACTTATGAATGACTTTGAATTATGAATAGGACAAAAAATCACAAGACAAAATAGAATTTGTGGCTAAAGTTTCTGGTCTCTAGCTTTTAACAAAGACTTCATTAATGATTTTGTTATTTGCTTGGGGTCAGAAGATTTACTGTGTATTGTCCCCTCAAGCAGAACTTTCCTTCTGTCTATTCTATTTTTAAAAAATCCCTCATTTATTCGTCGTAATCTTGTTTGCCATGTCATTGTCAATTTTTCTTGACATGTGATTTGAATGTCCCTTTCATATCTTCACCTCTTTTTGCCCCCGCCGTAGCGGAGGGGGCATTAAGTTTTACTTTGTCCTCTGTACGTCCGTACGTCCCAAAGTTGGTTTCGGTTCTCTAACTTTAGTTTGCTTCAACCAAATGTTATGAAACTTATACACAATGCCTACCACAAAACACAGATTAGGTTTGAATTTTGGTGGTGTCACTTTTACTGTTCTAGAGTTATGCCCCTTTACAAATGGAAAAATTGCTGAATTTTTCGTTTCCGTTCTCTAACTTAAGTTTTCCTCAACCAAATGTTATGAAACTTATACACAATGCTTATTACCACAAAACTCAGATCAAGTACAAATTTGGGTAGCGTCACTTTTACCGTTCTTCAGTTATGTCCCTTTATAATGTTATATGATATGCAAGCGGGGGCATCATATGTGTCCCATGGACACATTCCCCTTTTATTTTTTTAAATTGAGGGTCACAATTTATTTTGCTAATTCTTTGTATATAGTCTGAAAACAGATTTACTAAGTATTGCGCAACAGCATAGTGTATTGCACAACAGCAAGAAATCTTCAATTGAATATAAATTCAAACCGTGTGTTTAGATTTTTAATTTTGGGGCCTGTCTTCAAATTGGTCCACATTAAGGTCCAAAGGGTCCCAAATTAAACTTTGTTTGATTTTGAACAAAAAATGAATTCTTGGGGTTCTTTGATATGCTGAATCTAAGCGTGTATTAAGATTTTTGATTTTGGGCACAGTATTCAAGTTGGTCAAAATTGGGATCCAAAATTAAACTTTGTTTGATTTCATCAAAAATTGAATTATTATATGCCCAATCTTCCACGTTCTGCGGTCGTTATAATCAAGCTGCGCTCTGCTGGAGCATTTTATTACTTTTTACGAAAATATGCACTTATATTACCAATTGTCATTTCTTTTCCAGATTGACAGATGGCCTCACAATGGATATGTTAAGAAACTTCAGAGGAAAGATGGTTGTTTTTATTACTTTGATAAAACACGAGAATGTCCAGAGAAAGATATAAACAAATGCAAATTATATGTTTATTGATGTGATATTTACATATGAATAAGCAGGATACATCTGTTGTATTTAAAGACTGCCACTATGTTCCTTGGTACTGAGCACTTTTGTTTTGTTTTTACAGTTGTTTAATGTTTAAACTTAGATTTGTATGATCTGTTTTATTTATTCTGTTGCACTGATCTATCTACATTTTCCCTATTTATATTATTTTTACAGTCTATCATGCGGAAAATGTTTGAAAAGTGTTCAGTCTAATATCAATCTCATAATACATGTCAGTTCATTTTTAATAGTGTATAGTTTAAGAAAGTCGTGTCCAAAATTTTGTTCAAGATAATGCATTGATGATCATTAACAGTGTGAGAGGGGAATTGTATGGTGTGTGGATGTTAAAAGTGATTATAAACAGTTATTTGGGAAGAATATTTTGGATTATTATTAAAAGTTCGATTATCAATATTCTTTTTTTATTTAATGGTTTCCATCACTTGGTGTCCATCGTCGTCCCTCTGCAATCTTAATCTCCACTGAAACCACTCAATCAATTTCAACCCAACTTGGATTAGTGGTCTTATGGTATATGTTCACTGGTATCTTGTATAAAGTTTGTGTTTTTTTGTCCCTGCCAACCAACAGGGCTGAAAATGTAATATAAGGGTCAAACCAAAGGTAAGATTGTCTATTTATTACACTGGTTTCAATGAATTACCATGATTTCCCAGTATAATAAAAACCGATGATTTCCATGTAAAATAAATCAGATAATTTCACTCTTCTGACGTCATACAACAAGGGGGTGTTGTTAAGACGGTGCATCAAAACAATTGAGACTGAGTAGAAAAAGATGTCCTTTCATGGTCTACTTTATTTCCCTCAAAAAGTCCCCACGCTCAATGTAATAAAAAGAATTATCACATATTTGTTACGAAAACATTAGGTTTTGCATATGTAATAACCGCAAAATTGTCCTACTCATATTGCTTCCCGGGGCAAAAAAGTGGTTATTGGTTATTGTGCCCCGATTGCAAATGACGTGACGTCGTTGCGTCCTTAACGACAATGGCGAAAATGACGGTGTTTGTATTGGAAATTATGAGAATTCTGCCACAATGGCCACTAGTAACAATTTACAACCAACAATTTTCGATTTAGCCCCAGTTATGCCAAATTATCGCTTTTGTATACTATTACCATATTCAAAAATAAGGGGAAATGTTACAATAAATGTGTATGCAGTAAATGAAAAAAAAAATAGAAAATGTGATAAATGTTTTTAGATTTTACCTATTGTGGTCAATCAAATAGTTATAATTGAACGTTTTTCTCTTTTCTGCAGAACTTAAATATGTGATAAATAGAGTATAACATGTCTTTTCCATATTGGCCCTGGTATCATCCCTCGACCCATATCGGACCTCGGCTAAAGCCTCGGGCTGATATTGGAGTCTCGGGATGATACCAGGGCAAATATGGATAAAGGGCATGTTATAATCTATAAAAACTAATCCAAGAATTAAAATATCAAAAAATATTCAACTCTTGACTGAATAGCATAATTAATAATTAACTCATTCGTGAATAATGTGTTATTCGGTCACTCGTTGAATATTTTTCTATATTTTAATTCTTGGATTAGTTATTCTATAAATATCTTGAAAACAATAAAAGAGGAAAAATTTAAAAGAGAGACGAAAGATATCAAAGGCACATTCAAACTCACAAGTAGAAAACAAACTGACACAACGCCATGGTTTAAAAAAAGAAAACGACAAACAGACAAACAACAGTACACAAAACATAGAAAACTAAAGACTGAGCAACACGAAACTCCATCGAAAACTGGCGGTGATCTCGGTAATTTGGTAAACATGCAACAACTTTGCCAAAACTTAACTGACACTGTAAGTAAGAGAAGGACGAAAGATACCAGAGGGACAGTCAAACTCATAGATCGAAAACAAACTGACAACGCCATGGCCAAAAAATGAAAAGACAAACAGACAAATAATAGTACAGATGACACAACATAGAAAACTGAAGACACACGAACCCCACCAAAAACTGGGGGTGCTCCTGAAGAGGCTTGGACAAAAAGTTTAAGCCTCTTGCTTCGGCCTATGAAATTTTCTCAGCCTGGTAGGAGGCTTGGACAAAAAGTTTAAGCCTCTTGCTTCGGAGAAGCCGCATCGGCCTATGAAATTTTCTCAGCCTGGTAGGAGTCTTGAACAAAAAGTTTAAGCCCCTGCTTCGGGGAAGCCGCATCGGCCTATGAATTTTTCTCAGCCAGGTAGGAGGCTTAGACAAAAAGTTTAAGCCTCTTGCTTCGGAGAAGCCGCATCGGCCTATGAAATTTTCTCAGCCTGATAGGAGGCTTGGACAAAAAGTTTAAGCCTCTTGCTTCAGAGAAGCCGCATTGGCCTATGAATTTTTCTCAGCCAGGTAGGAGGCTTGGACAAAAATTTTAAGCCTCTTGCTTCGGCCTATGAAATATTCTCAGCCTGGTAGGAGGCTTGGACAAAAAGTTTAAGCCTCTTGCTTCGGAGAAGCCGCATCGGCCTGTGAAATTTTCTCAGCCTGGTAGGAGGCTTGGACAAAAAGTTTAAGCCTCTTGCTTCAGAGAAGCCGCATTGGCCTATGAATTTTTCTCAGCCTGGTAGGAGGCTTGGACAAAAAGTTTAAGCCTCTTGCTTCGGCCTATGAAATTTTCTCAGCCTGGAAGAAGGCTTGGACAAAAAGTTTAAGCCTCTTGCTTCGGAGAAGCCGCATCGGCCTATGAAATTTTCTCAGCCTGGTAGGAGGCTTGGACAAAAAGTTTAAGCCTCTTGCTTCGGAGAAGCCGCATCGGCCTATGAATTTTTCTCAGCCAGGTAGGAGGCTTGGACAAAAAGTTTAAGCCTCTTGCTTCGGAGAAGCCGCATCGGCCTATGAAATTTTCTCAGCCTGGTAGGAGGCTTGGACAAAAAATTAAGCCTCTTGCTTCGGAGAAGCCTCATCGGCCTATGAAATTTTCTCAGCCTGGTAGGAGGCTTGGACAAAAAGTTTAAGCCTCTTGCTTCGGAGAAGCCGCATCGGCCTATGAATTTTTCTCAGCCAGGTAGGAGGCTTGGACAAAAAGTTTAAGCCTCTTGCTTCGGAGAAGCCGCATCGGCCTATGAAATTTTCTCAGCCTGGTAGGAGGCTTGGACAAAAAGTTTAAGCCTCTTGTTTCGGAGAAGCCGCATCGGCCTATGAAATTTTCTCAGCCTGGAAGGAGGCTTGGACAAAAAGTTTAAGCCTCTTGCTTCGGAAAGCCGCATCGGCCTATGAATTTTTCTCAGCCAGGTAGGAAGCTTGGACAAAAAGTTTAAGCCTCTTGCTTCGGCCTATGAAATTTACTCAGCCTGGTAGGAGGCTTGGACAAAAAGTTTTAGCCTCTTGCTTCGGAGAAGCCGCATCGGCCTATGAAATTTTCTCAGCCTGGTAGGAGGCTTGGAAAAAAGTTTAAGCCTCTTGTTTCGGAGTAGCCGCATCGGCCTATGAAATTTTCTCAGCCTGGTAGGAGGCTTGGACAAAAAGTTTAAGCCTCTTGCTTCGAAAAGCCGCATCGGCCTATGAATTTTTCTCAGCCAGGTAGGAGGCTTGGACAAAAAGTTTAAGCCTCTTGCTTCGGCCTATGAAATTTACTCAGCCTGGTAGGAGGCTTGGACAAAAAGTTTAAGCCTCTTGCTTCGGAGAAGCCGCATCGGCCTATGAAATTTTCTCAGCCTGGTAGGAGGCTTGGACAAAAAGTTTAAGCCTCTTGCTTCGGAGAAGCCGCATCGGCCTATGAAATTTTCTCAGCCTGGTCGGAGGCTTGGACAAAAAGTTAAAGCCCCTGCTTCAGAGAAGCCGCATCGGCCTATGAATTTTTCTCAGCCTGGTAGGAGGCTTGGACAAAAAGTTTGAGCCTCTTGCTTCGGAGAAGCCGCATCGGCCTATGAATTTTTCTCAGCCAGGTAGGAGGCTTGGACAAAAAGTTTAAGCCTCTTGCTTCGGCCTATGAAATTTTCTCAGCCTGGTACCTGATTGAGAAAAATTCATAGGCCGATGCGGCTTCTCCGAAGCAGGAGCTTAAACTTTTTGTCCAAGCCTCCTACCAGGCTGAGAAAATTTCATAGGCCGATACGGCTTCTCCAAAGCAAGAGGCTTAAACGTTTTTGTCCAAGCCTCCTACCAGGCTGAGAAAATTTCATAGGCCGATGCGGCTTCTCCGAAGCAAGAGGCTTAAACTTTTTGTCCAAGCCTCCTACCTGGCTGAGAAAATTTCATAGGCCGATGCGGCTTCTCCAAAGCAAGAGGCTTAAACTTTTTTGTCCAAGCCTCCTACCAGGCTGAGAAAATTTCATAGGCCGATGCGGCTTCTCCGAAGCAGGGGCTTAAACTTTTTGTCCAAGCCTCCTACCAGGCTGAGAAAAATTTCATAGGCCGATGCGGCTTCTCCGGAGCAAGAGGCTTAAACTTTTTGTCCAAGCCTCCTACCAGGCTGAGAAAAATTTCATAGGCCGATGCGGCTTCTCCGGAGCAAGAGGCTTAAACTTTTTGTCCAAGCCTCCTACCAGGCTGAGAAAATTTCATAGGCCGATGGGGCTTCTCCGAAGCAAGAGGCTTTAACTTTGTGTCCAAGCCTCCTACCAGGCTGAGAAAATTTCATAGGCCGATGCGGCTTCTCCAAAGCAAGATGCTTAAACTTTTTTGTCCAAGCCTCCTACCAGGCTGAGAAAATTTCATAGGCCGATGCGGCTTCTCCGAAGCAGGGGCTTAAACTTTTTGTCCAAGCCTCCTACCAGGCTGAGAAAAATTTCATAGGCCGATGCGGCTTCTCCGGAGCAAGAGGCTTAAACGTTTTTGTCCAAGCCTCCTACCAGGCTGAGAAAATTTCATAGGCCGATGCGGCTTCTCCGAAGCAAGAGGCTTAAACTTTTTGTCCAAGCCTCCTACCTGGCTGAGAAAATTTCATAGGCCGATGCGGCTTCTCCAAAGCAAGAGGCTTAAACTTTTTTGTCCAAGCCTCCTACCAGGCTGAGAAAATTTCATAGGCCGATGCGGCTTCTCCGAAGCAGGGGCTTAAACTTTTTGTCCAAGCCTCCTACCAGGCTGAGAAAAATTTCATAGGCCGATGCGGCTTCTCCGGAGCAAGAGGCTTAAACTTTTTGTCCAAGCCTCCTACCAGGTTGAGAAAAATTCATAGGCCGATGCGGCCTCTCCGAAGCAGGGGCTTAAACTTTTTGTCCAAGCCTCCTACCTGGCTGAGAAAATTTCATAGACCGATGCGGCTTCTCCGAAGCAAGAGGCTTAAACTTTTTGTCCAAGCCTCCTACCAGGCTGAGAAAATTTCATAGGCCGATGCGGCTTCTCCAAAGCAAGAGGCTTAAACTTTTTTGTCCAAGCCTCCTACCAGGCTGAGAAAATTTCATAGGCCGATGCGGCTTCTCCGAAGCA